TAACAATATTCGGACCACCCTGCTGCTAAAATGACAAGACGACGATAACTAAGTAAGTATACTCACATGATAATACCCGGTATGCCTTCCTTAGATGTGCTAGCTTTTCTCCAATGTCATGCCCTAACACCAATGTTACTTGCATCAACTACGATGAGAACGTTGCGTAAGGTAAAATCTCCAAAAATGAACCTAAATGATATTTAAAAATAATAGAAATCTAAAATAACGTTAGCAAAGATCTTCCACCCAGAACAGAGTTTTATGTTAGGCGTCGACCGCAACACTTCGAGGCAGTATGTCCGTTACATACTCACACAAAGGACTAATCCAGGGGCTTGCCAACAATATATGTAAAACATACCTCTTCAACAGGGACGTTGAGCGTAAGTTAAAATCTCCAAATACTGTATATATATACTCCTTTGTTCTACTTCGATATTAATCTTTTCATTTTCAATTTTTTTTTTTAAAATATTTCATAGAAGGAAAAGGAAGCGAAAACATCCCTGCTGGTTGCCTTCCGTGTTCTTCATACACGACTTCCGTTTAAAAATCCCGGTTAAAAAAAAATAACCGATAAAATGATGCTTGACGTTAAAAAAAAAAAAGAAAGGGGTTTGCAAAATATATAAATTATATAAAATCAAGGTGAATATATAGGATTCTTACGCGTTACGTCATGTAATAAAAAGTATGTCAAATGATTAATACAAGTTCGACTGTGATACTGTAGAGTATGGACATTCTTTTATTTTATTTATTTTTGAAAAAAATCATGTGATCGATCACCTATTATCATTCTCTATGTAATACTTTAAAATATAAATTTAAAGAAAAAATTTTATTTTTATTTTTTATTTTTTATTTTTTTTTATATTTTTTTTTATATATTTTTTCAGTATTCGAGATTATCCGCTATACTATAGCAGCACCGATATAATTTTTAATATTAATTTAATATAAGTCAACTGATTTTCACATATATCACATGATATTAATCACCTGGTTGAGTTAAAGATTTTAAACAAATTTCTCTTTTAGATTTGATGTTTTTTTGGTGATATTTTTGGGGATGATTATATTTTAATCTTCTGGTACATAATATGGAAGAATTTCTTTTTTTTTATCACTCTCAAAAAGTTTAAAATGTCCTCAACAAAATTTCGCTTTATTAGAAACAAAGCAATCGGCTTGTCTGTGCAATAGATAAGGTGCATGTATATTTTCGTATACATGACCAGGACAAGCATACGGCCTTTTTATTTGCTTTTGAATTATCCGATGTAGCCAAAAAAAGAACTCACGAATATTATGTCCTTTTGCCATTGAATTGCATAAAATAAACAAAAATAGTTCTAATCAAAATTAGTTCATATGATCTATCAACATCTTTTTTATTTATTATACGAATGATCTTTAATATTTCCGATAAACCCAGATGACCAGATGATTCCTAATGATCCAAATGACATAGGTCATCGTGCCATGAGTCATTTTTAAATGACCCACATTCCAAATGACAAAGTATGACCAGGTCATTTGTCATCACTGTTCAAATTTGTGTGACAAATCTTTCCTTTCGTACGGCAATTGAATCTCAACAATCAATAGCAAAAATTAGTTTCTGATTATTTATGTTAATTTCGATTTGTCTGATTTGACTTGAATATCATCTGGATCGAGAATATGCAAAGATACTTGTGTGAATATATTGATTGATTTAGTTGATCAAGTGATCATCATGTGAGATATTCGAAAATCAGTTGAGATTTATATTAAATTCAAATTAAAAAATATGTCGGTGCTGCTATAGTATAGCGGTATAAAGCACTTGACATTCTAATCTCGAATACTGGGTTCGAGTAAAACTAATACCAAAATAAAATAAAATAAAAAAAAAAAAAAAAAAAAAAAAAAAAAAAAAAAAAAATTTTTTTTTCTTATTTTTAAAAATATTGATTTTGTCCATGTTCCAAAAAATTTTCAAGACTTCCATTTTTTCCACGACAAACAACAGCTCATATTGGTAGGCTAAAAAAAGATGTATTAGCGACGAAATGTTTCTCTTATGAAATGATTTTTTAAGGAAGTAAAAAAGTCGAATACAATAAAACTCTTTTGGAATCAACAAGGCAATATTATGGACCTGAGATAATTGAAGAAAAACCCAATTTCTGTGGGTAGGTTATCTTTACAAAGTACTATTTCTAGCGCTATTATTTTTCTATCTTTATTTTTGATTTTAGAAAGAAGTAATAATGGAGTTTGAAGGAATAGGTTTCCGTCATCTTCGTCCGCAGTGCAAGAAAACAATCATAAATTACACATCTTACAAGTCACAAACTACATTGACAAACAAGATTAGATCTTTCCAAGCTGTCAACTGGCGATGACGTACCTACTAGCAACCGCAAACGAAAACGTGGAGATTATGAAAATTTCAATTCAAGGTTGTTGAATGATATCACATCCATAGATAAAGATGATAGCGAAGAGAAAGATGACGAAAGATGATGAAATTACTAACAACGAAAATTTTTATCTTTTGAGGAAGTAGTCAAACCCAATAATTCAGAATGGATGTTGTCAAGCGGAGAATTTCGTCAAAATGTCCTCTCACAATCAGCCATTAATGATTCTAGAAATTCTAAAAATAAAAGGCTGACCGTTTATACAGTGAGGTATTAGGTATACTTTTATTACACATATAGGAGGGTTTCTAGGAAAATCAGGTTCTGAGAAATTTTTGACTTAAATTAAGAGCTTAATACATTTTAATCTAATACCATCAAAAACTAAAATGCAATAAAAATCTCAATTTTGTTAAAAAATTCCCAGAACCTGATTTTCATAGCAATCAACCCATATAACGAAGAGATCTATTGAGTAGGCTTGGATTGTCTTCTGTAGATTTGTCATCTGGATTTCTAGGTTCAAAGAAGAATGGTCTAGCCTGAAACAAAAAGTAACAAAGTCAAAGCATCATGTTACCAATAAAATGTGAAGCTGTGTTCTTGAAGGCATTGGGAAGATTGAGGGTGTAAGTAAAACAGACTGTTGATTGATAGTTTTAAATGTTTTGTACACTAATAACACTAATATCACTTCTATACAGATATTTAGATTATCGATATTTGATAGAACAAGGACAATATTTAAATTAACAACTTTTTATTAATAGTTCCATCAACGTTAAGTCTTTGACATGAAATATAATCGCTCGTTCATTATCAGAATCCAACAAAGCTTCAAATTTTTTCTCTCTTAATAAGTGAAATCAAGGATTTTTCAGGGAGTGAAGCAAAATCAAAGCGATTTAAAATTTTTTTCAGGATTTTAGTAGGATTTCTATTTCTCGGGAGAGTATATGCAGATTTGAATATGAAATTAATTCGAATCAACGGGTCGGATCTATAGTTGCGGGGTAAAACCCTAAACCCCGTTTTAATAAAAGTCGAAACTTTTCAGAAATTATTTCGACAGTTTCGATGGGTTTCGACGAGTTTCGACGAGTTTCGATGGGTCTCGAAAGTTTCGACAGTTTCGATAATAACTTTGCGAATTTGACGGTTTTAACAGTTTTATTGTATCACAATGTAGAATAAACGATTTTATTTGCTTTTTATTTTAGATTAGATCAAAGTTTCCAAAATAATGCATTATTTATCGAGTTGTTTAAATTTGGAAGTATTCTACTTGTTGATGAATTAAAAAAATTACCTTATGAAGAAGATGATAATAGAGGCTGGAACCGGGTTTATTTTTATATTCGGATTTATTTAATTTTAAAAATCGTATCTAATCTCTATTTCAAAACTGTGCAGATCCAATAAATTTTTTAAAGATTAATAATTATACATATCATATACCCGGCTTTGAGCCAATTTTGTATCCGAAACTGGATATATCTGGGTTTAAATCCGAATGTCGAATCCGGTTCCAATCTCTAGATGATGATTTTTCAAATGAAAGTTTAATGGATGAAGAAGAAGATATGTGCTATCATGAGTTTAAATGAAGAAAATATGGGACAAAAAACAATAAATTTTAAATTCAAAAATAGTATTTTAATATCAAAAGGTTTCGATGGGTTTCGCCGTCCTTTGAAACTTTCCACCCGTTGAAACTTTCGCAATTTTGCCTTTAATAAAAATATTTGGCAAAACGTTTCGACGGGTTTCGATTTCGATGCCTGTCGAAACCTCCGGGTTTTGCCCGGCAACCTTAGTCGGATCGAATTTCGGGTTACGATCCTTTCAAATCAATTTATAGTGTTTTGAATCTTTTCGTTACAATACAATATTCCGAACGATCTTCAAATCAATGATTTCATGGTTATCAACAAATTGGAGGAAATTTGTCTAATAGCATGTTTCCATTTAAGTTGATAAAGATAGGATGCAATTTGAATATTCAGGTGGGTGTGTTATAGAGAACTTTTTATAACTATATCCACACTATATCCAGATTCATATGTGGTTGAAGGAAGAGGGCCCCAAATTTTTCTATACTGAATTTACTTAATATGGTTTATCTAGTATCCGGACTAAAGTATCCGAAAAAAATCTTTATTTCGAAATTTTATATCACCATATATTGAAACTAATTAAGATAATAAAAGAATGCCGAAAAGCTGGATCATACTAACCAAAATGTCAGCTATTACCAAAAATAATTATGACGTTTCTGTCAATTTTTATTGCTTATAGCTTTATGCTTATGCTTTTACGCATTTGCTTTATGCTAGCTTACACATAGGCGCGGTCATTTGGTGAAGTTGCATATGGGTTCTTGGTCATAGGAAGTGCGGTCATCGGTGAAGTTACTTATAAGGCTTCTTGGCTTAAAGTAGTTTAACCAGACAGTATTATGCGGGGTTAAACAATGTACTCTAATGTTCTTTTGATGATAGGGCACCGCATACGAAATTTTCTACTGGATATGTCTAGCATAAAATATATGTAATTTGGATTTAGTGATAGGTTATCCTACTATATAATTTATTGTAATTTGCATTTGGGTGATTTCTTTTCTTTACTTAAACTTACTAAAATCTTTTTAAATTAAATATGAAGGATTAAGTCAAAGTGGTCTTGTAAAAAAAATTTTGTAATCAAATAAAAAAAATAAAAAAATTTTTTATATTTTGATTTTTTAATTTGATTTTGTATAAAAGTAAAATAAAAAAGTTAATATAAAATAATTATATATAAGTAATGTGAAGAAAATATAATTATTTATTTAATTAATTTTTTTTTAACCAAACTTTAGTAGCAATTATAACAAAAAAAAAAAAAAAAAAAAAAAAAAATAACACTGGCATCTTCTACTGCGCAGACGAAAGATCTTAATTAGTCAAAATCAAAAAAAAAAAATTTCTCGGTAAATTATTGTTTTTTATGCACAATCACTTAATAAATTCTCGTTAAATAATTTTTTTTTTTTCTACATAAAATTCGTATGAGCAGACTTTATTAAGAAGACCTGTCAATTTTCGAGTAAAACTTTAACAACAAACATGATTTCTGACAAATCAAGTCTTTGATTCAAAAAAAAAAAAAGAAAATTTAATTTAAAATTTATTTTCTCTTAAGGATGTCCACAGCAACAATAAAGCTCAAAATGTATTAACGGTTGGACCTGAGATGATATTTTCAAATAAGAATCAAAGTATTTAATTTTTAATGTTCGTAAGAGCCTAACATCATTACTGACACGTTTGAATAAATAATAGCGCAGAAAATTTGCATTGTTCATTTTTTATTAATTAAATTCTTCCTTCAAATAAGAGACTGATAGACTTCGCATTTTAAAAAATATCTGGTAGCTACGATAAACAAATATTTATTCGCGTACCCTTGTCCCAATTACCATCACATTAATTTTTCTTTGATATAATTCGAGTATAGTCAATATATTATGTTTTCCTTTGTTTATAATTTTGAGTCCTTATCGTTAAGTTTAACAATCTTGACTAATAAACATGTAAATTCATTCATCCAAACAGAATCATTCATTAGGGAATTGAATAGATATTTTGTTAAATTCAATAATCAAGCCGCAAAAAAGGATTGCTTTCTGATCAGGGTGATCTTTACTATTTTGAGATCGCAATTACTAATTGACTACTTGCACGAAATTTGAGAGAGGCTGTGTGAGGCAAAGCTAAGGGCTGTACGTTATGTCTGTAATGTTTGTTTTTTTTAAAAATAATCACATGTAATTTTTTATTAATAAAAAAAAAATTTGCCACTTTTGCAATATTTATTCAACTCCCATTTATTTTTTTTTTTTGAAGAAAACGGAGAATTAAAAAATTCTTCAAGGGGAATCGATGTAAAAACTCATATATTCAATTAATTCATAAAAAATTTAAAAATAGTATGATTTAAAAAATTATTTTATAACATTTTCTATAATAACATAATATTACTATTTTAGATTTATCTGAAATTAAAGTTTATGTTTCTAAAGTATCTAAATGGATAAAAACTTTTTCAAATTATTAAAAAGTAATAATTTTGATAAAAATAATAAATTTAATTTTTATTGCTTTAACAAAACAAAACAATTACTACAAATCGCAATTATTACTATAATTTGAAACTGTATTAAATCATAAATTTTTTTCAATATTTGTTCATATTATTTTTTAAATAATTTTATATCATATTCTAATATAACATATAATCATCATTTTAATTTTCATAGTTTCTTTAAAATATTAAGAAAGTTTATATTTTTAAGTATCTGATAGAATAAAACTTATTTAAATCATTAAAAAGTAATAATTTAATAAAGATAATAAACTTAATATTTATCTTTAATAAATTACAAATGAGATATAAAATCTTTTAGTAATAATCAAAACTTAGATTAAAATTATAATAAGGAATATTTTGATATAATGAAAACTAAAACTATCAAAATATAAAAATAGATATGATAAAATTATTTTAAAGAGTTTAACTGAACCAGTTTCCTTCTTTTGTGATTATCATTCCATTTTTCTGAATCAACTTTGGAAGTTGACTCTCTACTTGAAACTCTTGCTTCTACTACTTCAGTTTCTGTTATTTTTAAAACTAACAACAGTATAGATGAAGACTATATATTTGACCCTACTGAAAATTTACTTAAAGTTAGTAATACCACACCTAATAGTTTTCTTTTAAATATATTTACAATGCTTTTTTATAATATATTTGCTGCGCTGCTGAAACCTTTCTTTCTGAATAATCAAATAAAGAAAAGTGAATTATACCAGTGATTTGTTCAAAAGAGTGGATTTTCCATCTTTCATTGATGCTTATTAAAGTAGAACTATACAAATAAATGTTTAAATTTGTCAGATTTGGCTTTTTCACAAATGCGAATATTAATAAAGCATTTTATGCTAAGTTTTTCAATATAGCTAATCTAAAAATTAAAACTCCTTAAACATTCTGCCTTATTTAAATTTAACTCTGATCTGGTGATATTAGTAATAATCTGTTTACGTCACTAAATAACTG